AGGGAGTTTGGGATGGGAAGGGGTATAATGGATTGGCAAGAGAGAAGCAGAGGGTACATAGCAGCAAGAGAGCCAGTGATTAAAGAATAAAAAAAAAGCTTCACCGCTGCTGCGATACTAATCCAACACGTAATCACCCAATGACACTTTTCTACTGAAAACAGGTACTACACTGAAACTTGGACAGCAGGAGAAAATAAGAGGGGCCTGGGCTTCCCCTGGTGGCACAGCGGTCGAGAGCTGGGCTGCGAGGCTGCCCACAGCCTCTGCAGCGCTGGTTCGTTCCCTGGCCACCGGCGAGGGTCCCACAAAAAAGGCCTGATCTGGTTCCAGAATTTCCTAAGGGCAATGCACGACAATCTCGGGGTGGGGGGGGGTGCACTGCAAGTGGGGGCATGAGGGGTGGTTTGGAGACATGACTTAGGCCACTAAGCCCTGAGATCAAGAACTACATCTCACCTTGCAAGATCCTCATCAAAAGAGTCCATCCGGACATTGACCTGCGCCTCTCGAGTAATGGAAAAGGAAGACTTCCCCGTGGAAAAGTCTCCTTTGGCTGCCAGCTTCTCTCGGCTCTCAGAGGTCTTCCTTGGGAGAGTGATGAGCTTTTCTCCTGGACTGCTTTGTAAGCAGTCACTCGGAAATTCTTTTCAGGCACAAACCCCCTGTGCCCACTTTCGGTTCTCTTGGGCCCGCCCCGATCCTCCTTTTTGGATCTCTCTGAGAAGGACTCCTCCTCCAACTCCTCTGTTTTCCTTTGCTTTTCCTTCCCTGAAGGTGCATATACCAGGCCCTCCCATTTGCCCGACTTTTCTTCCTTTTGTTTGCACCTATGACTTTCGACATAAATTTGGGTTCATCATCAAACTCGGACTCCTTCCTTCCCTTAGCTTTGTCTTTATCTTGCTCATCCATCTCCTCCTTGTGGAAGTCAGCCATCTTCTTCTCAAAGTCATCTCGGAGTTTATACCTTTTAGGAGACTGGCTACCTCGAAAAGGCTTCTCACTATCAGTTTTGGGAGCAAAAGGATCAGATTTCATTTTTGCATCACCCATGCCTGTGTCTGAAAAGCTCCCTTTCTCTTCATTTTCTCTTTATCAGTATTTGTTTGTTTCTGTTCCTTATCTTTTCCATTCTCTCCTTTCTGCTCTTCTAGGTACCTAGTTATAAAAACAAAAGGGAGACACACAAGAGCTTCTTAAGCAACCTGATCTAAAACAATACCATATGGTCTTGGGTTTTTGGTTCTCTGAATAAACATGTCTTGTGGATTCCAATGTTACCAAAGGACTTTCTACTTGGTGACTTTCTAATAATTTCTGAATAATTGCGCTTCATTGAACTTGGCATTTAAAAGAAAAATATATTGTCCACATAGTTGTGTCTTACAAAAGCAACCAAAAACCAAACAGCAAAGGTAATGTTTAGGATACTAAAGAACAAAAACTTACTTACCTGTAAGTAGTCTAGGAAAAAAAAAATTAAGGTCTTATCCAACCTTCACTCAGTCACTTAATATCTGCTTTCAGCAAAGTTAACATAGAATGTTCAACCTTGGACAGTTTTGCTTTATACAACTCACATTTGGAAAAACAAGTCTCAAAAGAGACTTCAAATTTGCTTCAAGTCACCTAGAAGATCTAATATGAAATATACTGCAAACACAAATAAAAACAAAATATAGGTTAATTGGGGGAGGGGGCAAAATCATCCTACTCTTTCTTATGGAAAAGCAGAGCTCATACCTATAGTCTTTTGAGATTCACAGTCCTGGCAAGGAACAGACTTACATTTTAAAGTAGACTTACTGGAGGCTGGAAAGTAAAGATTCTGAACATCTCATTTGTACCATTAATGGAGAAAGTCTAATCAAATCATAGCTGCATTACTATGGCAAAGAAGATTCAAAGGACAGCAGGGCATCAAAGAATATGCTATTAAGGGAAAAAGAAAAGAGGAAACCACTTGCCTATTAAGTTCCTCCTGACAACCTGATCCCAGGGGCAACTTCCCTGCTAAATCTCCACCATACCAATCCAACCAACTATACAAAAATTCTGGTTCCAACTCACCATGTCCCCAGAACAGAAAGACGAAAGCACTGTCATGTCCTCTCCTAACATGCAGCCTGACTTGCTTCTACTTGGACATACAGCAACCTTATAATTTTAAAACAAAGCCTTCTGGACTAAGCCTTGGGCATTCCCATTCTGCCCAGACTCCTCAGCTAAGGGTGTTGGGTGTGAGTGTGGCTAGAGATTGATCACAACAGATGTTGGGTCCTACAAGATCTAACAGTTCCAATGGCTATTTATTTTAGCAAAGACATATTTTGATAGCTGACCTACAAATCTCTATGTTCTACGGCTTTTAGTGGTAGAATCCGAGGCAAATTTTATTTTATTTAAAGATTTATTTATGCAGGGCCTCCCCGTTGGCGCAGCGGTTGAGCGCTGGGTTGCGAAGCTGCCCGCAGCCTCTGCAGCGCCGGTTCAATCCCCAGCTGCTCCCCGGTCACTGGAGGAGGGTCCCACATGGCGCGCAGACCTCTCCTGCCGCCCGCTGCTCCCCTCAGCAGTGTACTTCGGTCCTTCTGCCTGCTCTGCTCCCCGCTCTGGTGAATTCTGTCACCCTCCCGCGCTTCTGACTGTGCCTAGTGCTTGTATGTATCAATCAGTCAATCAATAAATTTAAAAAAAAAAAAAAACACTTTGAAAAAAAAAAAAAAGATTTATTTATGCATATAAGAGCTGGGGTACAGGCCAGAGGTGCAGTGGGTGAAAGAATTCACCAGAGACAGAGTGGGGAACAGAACAGGCAGGCTGACTGAAATACACTGCTGAGGGGAGCAGTGGGCCAGGCAGGAAAGGTCTGCTGCACCATATGGGTAGCTCCCTGGCTGCGGATGGAACTCATGCTGCAGTGGCCGCAGATAGCTTCATAGGTTGCATCTTAACCCCTTGCACCACCGGGGAGGCCCCGAGGCAAATTTTAAATGTGAAAACATCACTGAGTAGTCTAAAGTAACTCTATACTACAATACAAATTCAGGAAGGTAGGAAAGCTAGAGTTAAGTTAAAGGTTTCCTGGGGTAATGCTTTTAAAGTATGCTAATGAAAAATTTAGGAAATGGGGATTGCCTTATTACCGCTAATCAGAGCTCTAACTTAGGCCACATCACAATTAAATTGCCAGCTGGTGAGATGAAAACACAAACAGGCAGCAGGGACAGATACTTGCCTCTTTGTATAGGTTGCTCCTCCTGGAGCAGCAGCCTCCTCCTTCTGAGATGAGCCATACGTGGAGCCAGTAGTCGGTGGACTCTTACCCACAGGGCTCTTTTTGGACGGACTCAAGGACCCAGAGCCATGATCAAACTGACCTTGGTGTGTCCCAGCCTGGTACCCAGAACCACTCTGCAGAGTTGAGCCCATCTGGGATGTGTTGGAAAGCGGAGGGCTAGGTTTTGGCACAGGGCTAGGACGAGGTGACCGCCGCCTCACCACCACAGACTGGAGGGGGCTTTTAAGAGCAGGGCTTCGCTCCCGGGGACTCAACTCAGAAGCTGAAGCCCGTGATGCAGAACTAGCACTGTACGTGGTGGCATCTGGCCATGACTTCGAGCTCTCAGATGCTTTTGTATCTTGAGAGGTGCCTCCAGAGAATGTCTGCTCCTTGGCCTCATCTCCCTGGTTATCCCCGGCAACTTGAGACGGCCGGCTATCCTTGGAAGATGACTTTTTCTCCTTTGTAGACTTGCGCTTAGAAGACTCAACTCGGCTGTGGTTGGAGGAAGAACGAGAAGAAGAAGAGCGCCTTGATCTGTCCGAGGAAGACTTATCAGAGTTTCTAGAATGGCTCCTGGATCTTGGTGAAGGGGACCTTCTCTTTGGGGACCGGGATCGGGAACGGCCCCGACGAGGGCTGTATGCTTGCCGGTAATTCTGCCAATTTGAACGGTAGTTTCCATAGCCTCCTCTATTATACTGGCCCCACGGATAAAAGCCTCTATTGCGCCCACGAAAATAATAGGGCCTTCTATAGCCTCTGTTGTGACCTCGGAAATCTCGATTCTGATACACTCTTGGGTGATTTCTCTCTCTGTTATGAGCTGGAGAATATGATCTGGAACGAGACCTAGAACTGAAAGGGGGAGTTGGGGGAAGGGGGGGAAGATGTTTGAATTTTTGACAAGCATTTTAATTTTAAAAAATTAATAAAACAAAAACCTGCCAACAAATAAGTAACATTGTGAAATCCCTGCACTTATGTATCATTTATTTTTCAGTTTTGTTTTCGAAGGGAACAAAAATCTCACTGCTTATGGCCCATATTAAGTATAAAACTGTAAGAATCATTTCAAAAATTAGACACCCAAGACTTCCTCAATAACACTGCAGCATATCTTAAATGATGATATAACTCTACAGTGAAAGAATATCTATGTCCTTAATGTCATAAACTGATAGATAACAAAGACCATTTTCATATAGTATACTAACTGCTTAAGGCACAGGGGCTTTTACCCATCCTAGCTCACTGGAAGTAAGAAGACCTGTAAGGTGTAGTATGTAGACAGGTAATTATTAGGTCCTTTGACCCCCTACATTGTTATAATACTCTACTACTCCCCATTCTACCCATTTCTGTGCCAGGCTAATTTCTTAAAAGATATAGAGACTGTAAAAGTACAATTACAGCAGGTCTAAACGAAAGAACACTTAAAAAGGGGCTTGTAGGATGCATCTATTCAAAGTATAAAAGAATTTACTGAAATCTGATCAGCAAAGCATACAAATAACAACTTTTTTTTTACTGGAGTCTGGAAATGGTCTCATTATTTAGGTCAAGTTTCTGTGACTGAACTATAAGATATTACCTAGATGCCACCAGAGGGCACCATCTGACCATGACGATCTTGACACCCAAGCACCCCGGGGGTTAGCAAAGAGAAACTATAAAAGCAAGCCCTCCTCGTCTATGTATTTTCAAGTCAACATAAAGCTAGCATTGTGTTTTCCTTCATTTAACAATATAAAACTCTTTTAGCAAGGTACAATTCCAGAATCACAGGGATTCAACATTAACCTAACTTTGTAAAAATTATGGTTCATGAATGTCAGGCTTGTTAATAACAGGGAGTTTTGTTTCCATCAAAAAACCTAGAATACTATTTGCTGGTATAAAAATTCACTGGGGACTTGGATCCTGCTAGTCTTGATAGCTGTGATACAGCAAAGAATAGATCATTCACCACCACTCCTAAGTAGCTAGAAATGTGCTAAGTTACTAGTACTCTTTCCAAAATTACTCTTTACATATAGAACAAAAACTGTTCAGTTAATTGGCAGGCTTTCTCACTCCAAGCCTGAATGGGAACAGATCCATTTTGTTTGTTCATTTTATAAGTAACTCCACTTTGCAAATGTGACAAGTTTTAATTACTGAACAAAGCAGTATTTTTTAATTTTTATTTAATCTAACGAAGATAAAGTGAGATGGGTTTACTACTACATATTTACCCATAATGCTTAGGCTCTTCTATTTCAAGAACAGTAGCAACTGGCAAAGACATCTTATTGCTGTTTGTTAATGGCTGCTATTTAAGAACAATTTAACAAACAAAAAAAACCTTACCTTCCACACTTTTCATTTGAAAATAGTAACATTATAAAGAAAAGAAGGGAGAGGCAGATGCAGGCTACAAAACTGATTAAGACCCAATGAAATGGCTACACATAAGGAGGTGATGCACCACCAGCACTAAGGTGAAAGGCTTAACTCATGTTCCCAACCTCAGAGGCCACTGATGCTTCTGTCATCAATTACTAGTGAGGACCCTGCAGCATACTGCATCCAAACCCCACAGTCACTGCGCAGATGCAGGAACATGAATCCCTGCAGATTGCAAGTGAAGTTTTTTTATAAGAAGTCACTTAAAAGGATACAGCCTGTGAAATACAAGGAAACAATCAATTTTCTCCAATTCTGTAGAACTCAGCAGTTAAGTTAATTTAAAGACATGGTTTCTCAAACTCTCTGGATAGTATACATTCCTTGTAGGAGGGAAAACAGAAGGGGAAAAAAAATCATGAAACAGATAAGCCAGAAACAAAAGTTGAACATCCAGTGGCAAATTTATCTGTTTCTAAAAAACAGAGATGTCAACTAGAATCAAGTATTAAAACATGTTTTCTAGTGGAAAAATCCCTCCAAAATAACAATCTTAAAGGTACAGGTATAAGATAGCACATAAAGTGGCTCTAGACCCACCCAGCACATAACTGCTGCTTAAGTCGTCTGCCCCTCACTTGCCAAGTCACTGACCATGCCAAATGATCTGTAGAACAAGGAGATCTGTCCAGAGAGATCTGCTCAGAATTCTAATTATCATAAATACTTTAAAGTTTATTAACATTTCTCAATTTGGTTTCTATCAGTTCAATTTCTGTCTCAGTTTTGTCTATGTAACACCTTGTTTTTGAACTTAATTTCCATTTACTAGATTGTTTAAAAACATTACCTTTCGAACCAATTGAGCTAAAACTGCATTTTAAATAGTTCAAATCAAAAGACTCTGGATACAAGGTAGGAGATACTAAGGGTCCTATTCAGCCCCAAGGCCTTGACAGCAACTAAATTTATTTAGCAGGTTTTCCCTCTTCTTTTTGAGGGTGTTAAAAGCTGGGATAGAATTTTACTTACATAGACTCTGACATAATTGAGCAAGAGTCTAGCCTCAGGCTTAATCAAAATTTAATCATGAGTAAGTATGCTCAAAAAGCCTGGGGAAGAGAAAAAAACTAGGACTGCTTATCCTCAAAGGTGTAGTATTAGCTTTAAAAAAAATTTAGTATTTGAGGAAGAGACAAAATTTATAATGTGCTACATAATATTGGTGTCATCAATATTTATGTATAAATATTTTTGTTCAATCCTGATCTGTAATTAATTTCCAGGCAGGCTTCATACAGTGTCTATTTAAAAATTAACTTGTTCTTGTTGGGGGAGAGGATATTCCACCAACCATTTGTTTAAAAGACCCTTCAGAAGTACTATCAGGGAATGGAAACCTCCAAGAATAAAGCTTAGTAACTAGTTTTCCTGTGGTTTATTTTAAATTTCATAATTCATTTAAGAATTCTAGAGAACACATCCGAATTAAATAGCAGGGGTTCCAGTTGGAAAAAATGAGAAACCTTTGCTTAGTGCAATTCTTTTTTTTTTTTTTTTTTAAAAACAGGCATGTATTTTCATTTATTTATTTGTTTGTTTGTACATGCACTGGGTATAGTCAGAAGCGCGGGAGGGTGAGAGAATTCACCAGAGTCAGAGCTGGGAGAAGAGCAGGCAGAAGGACCAAAGTACACTACTGAGGGGAGCAGCGGGAGGCAGGAGAGGTCTGCGCGCCATGTGGGACCTTCCTCCGGTGGCCGGGGAGCAGCCGGGGATCGAACCGGCGCTGCAGAGGCTGCGGGCAGCTTCGCAACCCAGTGCTCAACCACTGCGCCACCGGGGAGGCCCTGCTTAGTGCAATTCTGACAAAAGGAATGAAGTTATACAAAGATCCCCTTTTGATATTTAACTATGAGTTATTTCCCTACCTCACATAGAGAAAATTGTATCTACCAAAAAGTTCTTACCTACTCACAAAAGAAAATGAAAACAGTTTTAAAGAATGAGAAACCCAACTCACAACACATCAAAAGAAGAGATGCTGGAGGTTTAGCATTCTATTCGAAGACATAACTGAAATAGGGAAATCCACCTAAAGGTGTGAAAATTGACTGAAAGAATAATGGCAATGAATAAAATTTGTACATTTAGTAAGACAGAGCGGTGTCTATAATAGTGGTTTTTAGATAATTAAGATGTGTTTTACTAAATAGATGTAGCTTGTTAGTAATCAGAACATCAGGTATAAATGATTCCTGGTGAGTTTTTTAACATCTATTTTAGTGGGTTATAACTTCTCTGCAATGTTGATCATACTATTAATACTCTTAGCTGTATTTCTTTTGCTAATAAGGCAAATAAACTTTGATTCAAGACTCCAAAAGTGTTTCATTGAAAAATAATCAGGTGAGAGCATTTGAAAGAAGCAGTTCAAATAAAATTAAACGTTCTTTCTTCCAAAGTAGATGAGAAACAGTACGTGATGGCAGAAAAGACAAAGAATTAGGCAAACACCATCGCAATCAAAGCTGATTTGGATTTTAATGTTTGAAGAAACCTGGAAATTACACCTCAACTCTTAACCTCAAGTCAAACTCATCCTCCACCCCCCACATCCATGTGAAAGAGTTTAATAAAATATTTAAAGCCTCACATTGACCAATGAAATGACTGTGTCAACATACAACCACACTCACTTACCTCAGCCTGCGCTTCCTTGAACGAGAGACTGATCGACTTCTGGACCGAGACTTTGAAAATGAACGAGAACGAGATCTTGATGCTGATCTTGATCGAGAAGAGCGAGATCCAGACTTGGATTTGTTTGTTTTTGACATCTCTGAAGAAAGGGTCACTTTTCAATTACACCTAATGTAAGAAAATAGATCGAAACAAATGAGAGTTCTTTCGTAAACTCAAACTCCTCTGAACACATAAAAATAATGCTTAAAAATATGAAATGACTGAATAAAAAGACACCACCACAAAAGAGATTTCTGAGCAGCACAATCCTAAACAGAAGAGGTTGTAGTAGCAAATGGAAAACCTATGAAATCCTGGGAAAAATGAAGGAAGCTATACTTAGTTTAGTTCAGTCTTTCTCTATAAGCAGCAGGTTTTGTGGGTTAAATCAGCAGTTATAAAGTACTGAGAGAGGGCTCCTGGTTCTAACAAACGAAAACCTATGCAATGATATTTTGATTATAGTTTGTAACATATGTGACCATTGCATCACTCCCTGAATCTTAAGGCCACAGGCAAGTCCATAATACTGATATGCAACAGAAACAATTAAGAAAGTGAGAGTATTACTACTCCTGCCAACGTTGCTCCCCTCAGCAGTGTACTTCGGTCCTTCTGCCTGCTCTGCTCCCCGCTCTGGCTCTGGTGAATTCTCTCGCCCTCCCGCGCTTCTGACTGTACCCAGTGCTTGTATAAATAAAAAAATAATAAATAAATAAATTTAAAAAAAAAGTGAGAGTATTAAATATTCATGACAGTATACACTATCTATCTACATCCTGTAAAACATAGGGTGTCAATCCATAAACATAGGAGTGACATAATTTATGAGGCAAAAAACTGTGACTTTCTTCTAGCTCTTTATTAGCATTAAGAGTCAAACTTCTGGGCATCCCCGGTGGCGCAGCGGTTGAGCGCTGGGTTGCGAAGCTGCCCGCAGCCTCTGCAGCGCCGGTTCAATCCCCGGCTGCTCCCCGGCCACCGGAGGACGATCCCAAATGGCACGCAGACCTCTCCTGCCGCCCGCTGCTCCCCTCAGCAGTGTACTTCAGTTTGCCTGCTCTGCTCCCCGCTCTGGTGAATTCTCTCACCCTCCCACGCTTCTGACTGTACCCAGTGCTTATATAAATAAATAAATAAAAAATATATTTTAAAAAAAAAAACAAACTTCTTTCAGGGTCATTTCCCCAAGAAAACAAGATTGTCTTTTCTTTATCTCTCCACTGCAAAGAACAGCTTCAGAACTGTCCTGACAAAAGTCTGTTGGGTTTGAGCTTCAAGGTGCTCTATCAAACAATCTATTTTTCTTTTGTACCTAACCAGAACTCTGAGCATCTGCTGAGAAGCAAAAATTTGAAGTGCAGCAAAAATTTGAAGGACAGTTCAAAACTCAGAACAGAGGATCTGTCAAAGATCACAAAGTTAGTTAACAGCTTTAATGTGATTTTGCCCTTGGCTCAACAGGAAAATAACCATCAAGAAACACTTCACCTTCCTCTCTCAGATTCTTGTTATTCAAATCTCAGCTCAAAAGTTATCTCCTCAGAGGTTAGCCTGGCCACAAACGCTAACATAGCCCACTCAAGTCACTCTCCAGGGTCTAGTTCAGTACCCTGCTTTTTGTTTGTTTTCCAGAGCACTGAACTCAGTACTTGAAACAGTCTTATTTACTTTTTTGTTATTTTTTTACCCAAGCGGAATATAAAAGGACTCCCCCCAGCAAAAATCACATCATTATAGTTTACTACTGTATCCTCAATGCCCAGAACAGAAAATGCTTAAACAGTATTTTCATTAATTTATCTTATCCTCAAGGAAGGTATGCACAATGACATCTCATTTTACAGATTTGGAGATCAAAACGTACAGAAGCACTTGCTCAAGGGCACAGCTTAAGTGGCAGAACTGGGATTTGAACTCAGGCAACCTGGTTCCAAGCCAGTGCTCGTCGCCACTATTACAGTGTCTCTAGATCACTCAGAAGGGCACCTGTAAACTTGTGGAATGAATAAGTAAGTGCAAACCTCTACTCTTACTAAATCTGGAATCTGGTGAAGGGGGCGTAAGCAAACGAACCGGAATAGGGTGTTTCTAATCAGCACATTCAAGCTTCAGACTGTACTCTAACGAGCATTCGGGAAGGCAAAGTCCAGGGAGCTGCTATAGCTCAACAGCCCTTACGGAAATAACCATAATCTCAGAGACATGATTCAGAGGAGGATGAGAAAACGCAAGGAAGTCAGAAACAAAGGGCGATGCATAAGAGGTTGCTAAGCAAGGGTAGCAAAGACCCACATTCTAGATCCTGCCCAAAGACTCACTGATTGGTGCGCTAGAACAAGGTCAAAGATATTTTAATTTGGAGCAGATCTTATTTTTCAACTCTTGAGAAAAAGGAATGATACTGGCAGAGACTAAAGCAAGCTTCCTAAATAAAAAAACTATCAAAGATAAGGAAGAATTCAACCACTCCTTTCCTTCTTCACTCCAGATTGTGAAGTTTCTTCTCGATGTCCCTAATGACGATGCCAGCACTGTGGTTGGCACTTGATAGGTAGCTTGTTGAATTCACCAGAGCAAACACTTTGGGAGTATTTATTCTACTTGCCCCATGTTTGTAACCCCGCAAATAGCCTAATGATAACATATTTAGCAGGAGTTTAGATTCCTGAAAGTGGCAAATATATCCCTTTTTTTTTTTTTTTTTTTTTTTGTGGGACCCTCGCCGGTGGCCGGGGAGCCAACAGGCGCTGCAGAGGTTGCAGGCAGCCTCGCACCCCAGCACTCAACCGCTGCACCACCAGGGGAGGCTCCAGCAAATATATAACCTCTTAACAGGCTGCCATGAGGGTTGCAACTTTTAGCAACCCTAAACCACCAGCTACATACCAATCACACTATTGTTTCAATCCATTAATGTAGGAAAAGCTCTAAAAAGGTGTCATAATTGTTCATAGAAAAACTGATTTACTAGACAAGTAAATAAAAATGTAAGGCAAACATCTATAACCTGAAAACAAGATAATTTAAACAGACCTAAAGTCTTCCCAATGTTTAAAGTCATTTAAAAAATAAGTTTTTCACCCTGATGAACCAGACCAGCTGCAGGCCAGAGAGGCTCATAGAGGCCAGGCCCTGGCACCACATGAGCAGGGGATGCTGCCAGTTACAGATGTCTTTCAGCTGGCACAGCAGCCAGACCAGGGCCAGGTGAAGTTGGTGATGGTACTGAGTCACACCTACAGCACACTGTTACATACAGCTAGCTGACCCTTGAACAACACGTGTTTCAACTTCAGGTCTACGTATAAGAGGACAGACACCATACCAAAGAAATTAGCAGAAAAAGACACTGGAGATATGTGTTTCTGAACCAGTGCTAGATGATAAGACATTAAAGCAGCAGTGCTAGGAAACAAACTAACACTAGACAATCTAATAGAAGGGTTCTGACTATTCAAGCATACGGAGCTCTCTTCTCCCCTCCCCATCTCTAATTCCTAACATATGCAAAAAATAGAAAAAACAGCCTCTGTCTTGAAACCTCTCTCAGAACTTCCAGTGCAAAAATAAGTCTCTTGCCAAGGAACAGGAATGTTTCTGCTGTTGGATTTAGAGTCTAAAGTAGGAAAGCATGAGAACAAACAGCTTCATGTAATAAGAGAGTAGGAACAAGAAACATGAACAAAACAATGGGTTACGAAAGATACTTGGAAAGGCATCTGCCACAGGGGCAGCTTTAAGGGGATTCTTTGCTGTAGAGATTGTCTACCAGGCTTTTCCAGAACAGCACTGCTTTTAAAATTAACCAGAATAGGATAGAAAACCACAGTAATGAGAAATTGAAATAGACAGTAAAACAAAATTCAACATGTAAAATCACTTAATGAAGTGTGAAAACAGAGCAAAAAGGAAATCTGCTTTTTCTCTACAAGTGGCACTGGTTTTCTGAGTTGGGGTGATCAATTTCTAGAATCTATTATTTGTAGTAGTCATCTTTAGAGGCTGAAATCACTTGTTTTGGCTAGCTGACAAGATGTTTTTGTAATATACCAGACACTGAAAAAAAAAACATGATACAGACCCACTGGATTTACTTACCTTCAAAACTAAAAGTAACAGTACCAGGAGATACTGACTGAAACTAATTTTGTAATTAAGAAGATGAGAAACTTTGCCTTCCCATAATTTTTTTTTTTTTAAGATTTATTTATTTATTTATACAAGCACTGGGTACAGTCAGAAGTGCAGGAGGGTGAGAGAATTCACCAGAGCCAGAGCGGGGAGCAGAGCAGGCAGACTGATCAAAGAGGATATCTGATTTGTTCTCCAATTTATCTTCACTGCAGTGTTTAGCCAGGGAGTAAACACTTGGTATTTGCTTAAAATGAACAGCCTTTTTCAAACTTACTCATCATTCTCCATCATTTCCAACACACAAACAGGAACAATAAAAAAATTGGTTCAAGTATTAACAATCCAGTTCCAGAATAAAATTAAGTGTGTTCCACTGTTCTGAAATAGAATATTGCTGGTGAACAACACACAAAATGAGATATAGATACAAAAATGACAAGAAAGAAATTTATCATTCATAAAGGATTGCAGCAAAGCAGTGCACCTGGTTTATGCTCTTTGGATAGTGAGGGAGGGTAGGAAAGCAAGAGTTCAGGTGAAATATTAAACATGTTTACTATTTTATGGCTTTTCTCTGGAGATTATCCTCTCCCGAGTAAAAGAGGGAGAAGAAAAGAGAATCAAGAGCAGCTGTGACCATCACTAGGGTAACTCTGCCAGGACCTCACATCCCCAAAGAAACCTAATCTGAGACTCTCCTCCGTGATACATACTCCGGTATTAAGTAGCTGTCTTAAATTACTAAAAAAAAACCTGTAAACATAATACTAATTTCAATTCTGAGGACTTAATATTTATAGACGAGAATACCTTCATATACATAACCACTTTCCCAAAAGGGTACATGGGGCATCCTTTGGAGAGAATGGCAATTTATTGCTTAACTTAAAGACAATAATAAGCTTGTCTCATTATTTGCTGTTATTAAAATGTCAGTTAGTCTGGTGGTACTAAAACATTTTTTTTCCCTAAAGATTTGTTTATTCATA